AAAAGTAAACAATCTTTGTAGCTAAATTGAAAATCATGCTACTATCTTTGACTTAGACATTTATTTTGACGAACTCTATGCAATACTTTAGGTATTTAGACATGAATAAATATTTTACAGCGTCAGGTACGAATTGATAATATTAATATTATTCAAAATTTACAATAGATGGGCAATTTATGATATGCCGATACAAAGAAAATCTAATATATTTCGATACGTAAAACACATATTTACTTATCAGATATTCATATCTTAAAATATGCTGGCACCGACTTCGAAAATATCTTATTAGGTATCTATTCTAAATAAAAACGCCCGTTTAGTTATTTTTTACATTTTAGTGAGTGGAAGTCGGATTTTTTTTAAAAAAAGTTTTTATTTGTCCATTTTTAACGTAGACGTAATGAGCAGGTAATTTGTTAAAAGAAAGTTTTTTGATAACATTTTCGATTAAGCAATTTATTTAAATAAATAATTTATTTGTTGACTTTAAAAAAACCTACATACATAAAAAAAAGATCTTGACGAATTGAGAACCTCTCCTTTTTAGAAGTCGGTTAAAAATAACAGCTTATAAGAAAAACAGAATTTATAAAAAAAATTGTCTGTCTGTCTTTCTGTTAAATGCATATGAAATTATATACGGTACATATAAGAAAAATACAATTTATAAAATTTATGCCTGTCTGTCTATTTGGTCAGGCTAACCTCCGAAACGGCTGGACTGATTTTGACGGGACTTTCACTGACAGATAGCTGACGTTATAAGGAGTAACTTAGGCTACATTTACTGTAGAAAAAGTCATTACTGTCATTAGGGTTCCGCGCAAATAAATAAAACCCATGAAATTGCAAAATCCGCGTAAGCACCGTTGTCGAGCGAAACGAGGGTAAGTCACGAATATATATATATATATATATATATATATATATATATACTCGTATATATAATTATTTTATTTCTAATGTATATATTTTTCCCAGTGTTGCCTGGTATATTGAATGCGTTCGTTATAAAAGTACAAGGAAAAGTAGAAATGGGAGAGCGAGTATCCAATCTTTTAAAAACGCTCTGCGGCGAGTTTGCAAGTGAAGATGGTAATCCCGTGTTATTCCAAATGCAGATTCCTCGGAACTTGAAGCAGACAAAAAATCAAAATGTGCCAATGATTAAAGAAATTATGAAGAAAAATGAACTGACCCATCTATTTGGAAAGCATGATCCTAGAAATGATATATACAGTAAATATAATAATATAAAATTATAGGTTATTTCAGTTTTTTTTTTGCTTATAGATAAAGTATAAATTGTAAACTAAAAAATTTGAGCAGTAAAATATTTTTATTTGTATTCTTCAAATGATATTCGAAAAAATTATATTTGTTTTTAGGCGATTTTTAGTTATAGTCATATTGTTAATAAACATATTTTTTGTTGCGCTCAACCCTTTATTTATAGTCGGCTATACCTTTATTTACTTACGGTTTAAGCTTGTGGAAAAATATTGTAAGTCAAGTCTGATCTGAATATAATACAAAAAATTCTTTTGTTACCCGCTTTAAATAAAAATATTACATTGTAAAAATTGTAGTCCAACATAGACATTGCATTTCAGATGCCATAGCCATTACATGATTAGATAGGCAGTGGTAGCCTAGTGGTAACGTGCTCGCTTGGGGAACCGAGTGAAGCGGGTTCAAATCCCGGGTCTCGCACCTCTGATATTTTCTTGTGCCAATCATTTCTAACATAATTACCACTTGCCTTACTGTAAAGGAAAACATCGTGAGGAAACCAGCATGTCTGAGAGAACCTAGCAAGTTTTCAAAAGACATGTGAAGTCCGCCAACGCGCACTGAGTCAGCGTGGTGGACTATGGCCTGATCCCCCTCGTATTGAAGGGAGGCCCGTGCCCAGCAGTGGGACGTTAAAAAAGGCTGAATACAGCAATGATTATAAAAAAACACAACAAACAAACAAACAAACAAACAAACAAACAAACAAACACAAATATAATTTTCTCTCGTCCTTCTATCCGTTTCTCCGTATAACATTTCTTAGTACGAGTATTATATTGAGGAACTTTGGAAGGTTGGTGTCTATGTGTACAGCTATAAAGTAATTTAATAAAACTAAATCAAAATGTAAATTGTGTCGTATATGACTATTTTAACTTATAAATATGTAATGCTTTAAATTTAAATTATTTAAAAGAACTAAATCGAATTAAAAATTAAAACAAAATGAAACGAATAAACTGTACCGTCACTAGATTTTAAATTTTCGTCTATTTACAAAACTTATAATAATAATAAGCTTTTAAAGTCCAAGATAACATTACAATGAGTTTAAAATAATATTAACAGTTAAAATACATAAAAATCAGAAGTCAATAAATGTGTACAATGAAAATAATAATAATTTATGATTCATGATACAATTCATTTTTTATATTTTCGTTCTACCGGCGTATACGAATGAAAGGAATAGAGAGCACTGGTGTCTGCGTGTGTTGATGTATCTCGTAAGGTTTACCCAGAGTTAGCCATGAAAGCGTACAAAAACAGTTTTCTTAGACCAAACATTGCCATAGTTCAGCCATCTTGTACAAAATATTTACAAATAATTATAAATTAAAAATTTAAAAAACCCCCTACGCAAATTTATTGTTATTTGACGATTACACTGACACGCGTGAAGCACTTAATCGAGTAATCATACGCCAAAATGAATTACATCATGTCGGAAAAGAGCGCTTACACTGCTGGACCGATACTAACCAAACGTAGATAGCTAAGAACCACCGCAAGGCAACTGCCTTTCAAATGAAAAAACCGCATCGAAATCGGTCCATCCGTTTGAGAGCTACGATGCCACAGACAGACACACACACACGCAGGCAAACAGACATCGACGTCAAACTTATAACACCCCTCTTTTCGGGGGTTAATTATATACACAAACTTTCCTCGTTTTAGTTTAACAGTTATTAGTATCCGAATTCGTTGCTTGATTTAGAAGTCACTGGAGAAACAGTCAGCAACTTTGTTTTACACTACAAGTACATGATGTTCTCCTGACCGATTCCGGCCACGGCGGCCAATCTCATTGAGACTAGCCAACTGCGCAGGAGATATTATAGTGCACAAGTGTACGCGCAGACACAACGTGCACTCTCTATTCCTGTCACTCTCATACTCCGGTGGGACGACCACTCGACACGACCGGTGAGAGTGTCGGCGCAGGACCGACGGCTTTACGTGCTCTCCGAGGCACGGGGGTGAAAAACCGCCAACTTCCCAACTCCAGGCTGTTACTGAGGCTTACTTATACAGAAAGTCTCAATAACTAAACTTGGCCCGACCCGGGACTCGAACTCAGGACATCCGCGTGTGCAGCCGTACATGCTAGTCACTACACCACCGAGGCAGTTACAAGAACATACCTACCTATTGATATAGACGGGCGACGTGCACCTGAATTTTTGTATTTTCACATGAAAGTCAGAGATTTTACCCCACTAATAGTTTTAGTGTAGTTAATAAATTATTGAAATTTAATGTAATATGAATGAAAGATATCCTATCCTAATCGTTAACCCGAGTACTAATAAACATAGCACAAAATTTAGTAAAAATCCTTTCAGTACTTAATAGTTAATTAATATTATTACTCATAAAATACACACAGATGTACAGACAAACAGACAAAAATATCAACAACCATTGTTTTAGGATCTATATTCTATATAGAATAAGTAACATAATATATCTATAGATAATATGTACAGATAATATGAGTAAAAATCCTCCACTCTGTTGCAAAGTTTCCAAAATATTTATTTTTTTATTACATTTGTAATATTACCATATTTATTAAAATGTTTAATTTTGGAGTCGACAAGAATAAAAAAATAGGCAGGCATGAATAATTACAACCTTCAACAATTACGTGTGGTTTTTAAATATACTTAAAAATATTTATTTTAAGCATTATTTTTAATCATTTTAACGGAACAAACTTATTATTTGGTAGTTTCTTTAATTGAGTTTATCTGCGTATATTATGAATATGAAACAACATAGTCTTGCACTAGATAGTATTACAAAAAAAAAAACATTTTTTCTATTGCTAGTAACATTTATTACTATTACAGTGTGTTAGTTTAATACCTCAATAAAAGTCATTAAAAATATATAAAGCTTATTGGAAGTGGTCTCCATTGGCTGCAAAAAATGACAGATTCCAAATTCAAATGTAATATTTTGTTTATTTTTAATTGTAACAGTATTTATGGCCAGACTATAAATAATAATAATAAATAAATATGTTAAGACATTACCACACAGTACCATCTAGTTCCATTGTAAGCTACGAGGCTTGTGTTATGGATACCAGATAATTGATACACTACACATATATAACTTTAAATAAATACATATTATAAATATAGACACCCATGACTGGAGTACAAACATTCGTGCTCATCACACAAATGAATGCTACCAGCGGGGTTCGAACCCGCGTCCACTGGCACAGCAAGTAGGCTCACTACAAACTGAGCCAAACGTGTCGTCAAAACTATGTATATACATATAAACATAATAAGAGTGCGAAATTTGCAACCGTCTCCTGGCTAACAATAAGTAGTGTCATTAGGTACTGAAACTTCTTTCCGTAAAAAATAAGCATATATAATAATATTATATAAGCAAAATCGCAGAGTAAACACATTTTACAATGCTCGGTGCTCGCGTTTGCATATCGCCCCTACCATCTCTAACACAATAAGTAATATTTTTCAATTTTCTTTACACGTCATAATATTCTTTTCAGTTACAGTATAAATAATACAATAGTTCAAAGGTCCCTCATACATATACACGAATTCAAATGAATGTATAGCGATTCTTGTGCCACAAGCTCGCTCGCCACACAGTTAAGTCAGCCGTGCAATAGAGTATAACGATAGTGCATTTTCCATAAACCAACAAAGATGTATCAGGATAATGCAAATTTCAAACCTACGGATAAAAACAAATTCCAAGCATCTATAAGTGAACTGAGGAACAAAAGTTTTGTGACCGAAAATGATATGCTCAATTATGGTAAGTTGGCAGGGTGCTTAAAATTGACTTATTTGCATCTCTAGTAATTTCGACCCGATTTTGATCGTATTATTTTTTTGGATTACTTATTTTTATCTATTTACTAACATTGCTTGCGGCTCCGCCCGCGTTCAGATGACCGAAACCAAATTCTTAGGTTTACTATATACTTACATTGGAGTTTTTGTATTTTTCTTAGAAATGAGATATTTTCCCGCGGTAAAAAGTATCCTATATGTTGACCCGGATAACCAGCTATCACCATACCAAATTTCATCAAAATCCCTCCAGTGGTTTTTCCGTGATGCGGTAACAGACAGACAGACAGACAAACATTCTAAAAACTTTAGATTCGGCCTCTGTATCGATAATAATGTCTATTTCAATAAGATTTTTTGAAAAATATTTAATATACAGATTCAAATAAATCATCAAATTTTATTATATGTATAGACAACTAGCGACTTACCCTCGTTTCGCCTGGGTGTCCTCCGGGCTCCTTGCCTTTTGTGTTTATAATATTAGGTATTGCAGGCAGGTCCGCCTCGAATTTATGTTCACCTTGATGGTTGGGGAGGTGATCAGTAGCGTCTGGCGAAATTTTAGTCTGTATGTTTGTTTGGCCACTTGGCCACCATGGTGGACTATGGCCTGTCCCCCCTCGCATTGTAGGGCCAGTAGTGAGATGTTAAAAAGTGATGAACACATAATACCATCCAAATAACTATATCATACAGCCTCGGTGGTGTAGTGGCTAGCATGTACGGCTGCACACTCGGAGGTCCTGGGTTCGAGTCCAGGGTCGAGCCAAGTTTAGTTATTGAATCTTTCTTATAGTAAGTCTCAGTAACAGCCCGGAGTTGGGAAGTTGGCGGTGTTTCACCCCCGTGCCTCGGGGAGCACGTAAAGCCGTCGGTGCTGCGCCTTAACTCTCATCGGTCATGTCGAGTGGTCGTCCCACCGGAGTATAAGAGTGACAGGAGTAGAGAGTGCACGTTGTGTCTGCGCGTACACTTGTGCACTATAATATCTCCTGCGCAGTTGGCTAATCTCAATGAGATTGGCCGCCGTGGCCGGAATCGGTTAGGAAAACATCACATCATCATATTATATACTAAGTTATTTTGAAATGACGAGCAGCCATTTTTATTTATTCCATTTTCATATGTAATTAGATGTATTTGCGTTTGAATTAAATACTACAAGTTATTCATATATGTAGAATATTTTATTCATACTTTCAGTATTCGACTGTACAAATATCATTAGAATTTAATATAAGAATGATGTTTAACGAAAAATATAGTTTTATATTCGAAAGTGGCAAATTACCAGTCGATTTACCTGATGTTAGTTACGTGTGAAGTTAGACGTATAAAGATCAAACTAAATTGTTGGAAAATCGTGGAACAGCAAGCTTTATATAAGTTAGAATTGAACGGACGCCATATTGGGAAAAACGATGGTAGAAAATTACATAAAACAGGAGGAAAAAATAAAGAATTGTAATTAATAAATCAATTAAGTACATAAACAAAAAATCGAAATTCATAAAATCCGCTAAAAATGTTGCATGCTCGCACCGAGACTCCGAATACATACTATAATGTTTATTTTTAGTTCGCTTTTTACGCCATCAGGTTTTTTGGTCACTAAAACAATTTGAATTTCGTTAGAGTTTTTAGATTTAAGGTTATATGTACGTAGAATGTACATAATATGTATTTGCAATCGCCAAAAATTATTCATATTGATATCCTCATATTGATATCGTCCTTTAAGAGTTACAAAGAAACATAGTGTCTGACATACAATTTAGTTATATGAATACCTACATAGATACATACATACAGGTCAAACACATAACCCTTCTTCTTCTATATTGGTAAATATAAGTCGTTTAGGGTGCAAACAACAAGTAAAAATCTAACTGACATTTAACAAGTTACTTGTATTGGGTAAAACGATGTATCAGTAAATTTGACAATTTACTCCTAAGGTCGAATTGAGCCTTAAATTGTTGAGAGTAAAAAAGTGCGTTTAATTTAAATGATTTAATTTACACATTATATATGAACAAATTAAATTATCTACTTAGTAAATATAACATTTTGGTAAAATCAACAGAAATGATTGTAAATGATTTTTATTTTTTATTTTTTACATTTCATATATTATATATATATATATATATATATATATATATATATATATATTTCATATCATTGCCTAAAGTCATATGATTTATCGAATTGAAAATTTCTCGAAATTGACATAAAATCAAAGAAAACTACCTAAATGCCTGTGACGGCCGTAGTGATGATTATATGTGCTATAACTGCATCACTGTAGTGTTAGAAAAGAGTCACTCGACCTTCTGAATTCGTATTTAAACAATAGAATACAAAGGGTTGATGTAAATGGTATGAGATCTCCTGGGGCTCCATTAGATATGGGGGATATTAATATAGATATTCCACAAGGGTCTATTCTTGGCCCCTTTCTCTTCCTAATTTATATTAATAATTTTCCATTTTTTGTACAGGACAAACGTGAGATAGTATTGTTCGCTGATGGTATTTTACTAAAGGAAAATGCAGCTGCTATTAATACGATTTTTGTCCTGCAGAAAAGAGCTATTCAAGCAATTTATAGTAAAGGTCCTAGTGTCATTAAGAGATAAGTTTGAAGAAATAAAAATATTGACTGTTGCTTCTCAGTACGTGTACGAATATGTTATGTATGTTCGTAAAAATATACACGAATTTCCCAAGAAGTGTGGACATGCATGCTAACACTAGGAGCACACACAAACTTTTAATGCCTGTGAGAAGAGAGACAGGGTGTTTTAATATTTGCATTTCTGTTTTTTTTTAATTTTAGGATCGTATATCGTAGAGATAGTCCCTATTATTACTTAAAAATATGTTTCTTAAATTCCACCTACGTACATATTTCTTTATTAATTTTATTAATTATGCATGTTCATAAACTCAAATCAATGAATATGCATGAAAAACAAATAAAAGAAATGAATGATGAGCTAAGTAAACAATGTATTCCATTAACATAAAACCGATAATTAAAATAGCCCTGTTGGGCTCGATGTCCATGTTTTATTTTGTTAAAATAGTTTTCTAGTGAAACGGAAATGTGTTTTGTGTACGGTGAGGCTGTTACGCTACAATAACTACACTAACACAACTGCAATAACAGCCTCGGTGGTGTAGTGGCTAGCTTGTACGGCTGCAGATCCAGAAGATCTGGGTACGCGTCTCGAATGGGAAGAGGGGGGGGGGGGGAGGGGAGAGGGGAGTTTAAGGAGTTCAATTACTAACTTTTTCAGTTAATATATTCTCAGTACTAGCCCTGAGTTGGGAAGTTGGCGGTGTTTCACCTCGTGCCTCGGAGAGCACGTAAAGCCGTCAGTCCTGCGCCTTAACTCTCACCGGCCGTGTCGAAGTATCGTCCCATCGGACTTTGAGAGTAAAAGTTTATTTCATTTCATATCAACTGGCTACTCCAGATTTGCCGCCATAAATTTATTAAATTATTAAATTTATCGCACATAATTTAAAATGTTCCAATTTTTTTACTTTTTTTTATTTTTTTTTTATTATTGACAAGATATAAAAATGTGTTTATTCTATATTTGTAATAACTATGTCTTTCAATTTATATACTATTTATTATCGTAAAGGTTTAAAATTTATATTGAAAGGACAACTATATTATTCTGAGTACTTCGAGTGACTTTATGTACCTGGGTATGTATTACATTATGAATATATTACGTCTGTATTGACGATGTATCCCAAAGGTCGAGGTCCTGTGACGATTAAACCATACAAGATTCACACCCTTACTTACTTATCTGTTAAATAAATACTAGCTTTTGCTCGTGACTGCGCTCGCCTAATTTATATAAATTAACGAAATTTCTGCCTGTCTGTCTGTTATGTTCCGACTAATCTCCGAAACGGCTGGAGATTTTTAAGAAACTTTCACTGGCAGATAGCTGATGTTATAAGGATTAACTTAAGCTACTTTTATATTTGAAAAATAATTAGGATTCCACGCAAAAAAATTAAAACCTGTGAAATTCGGTTCGAGTCCCGCTGGGGGCATTCATTTGTGTGATGAGCACGAATGTTTGTACTCCAGTCATGGGCGTTTATATTTATAATATGTATGTATTTAAAAAGTTATATATGTGTAGTGTATCAACTATCTGGTATCCATAACACAAGCCTCGTAGCTTACCATGGAACTAGATGGCGCTGTGTGTTAATGTTCCAACATTTATTATTATTATTAATATAAGGTAAGCTAAGCGAGGGTGAATCGTTTTTAGGTAATGATAAAAAAATAAGGCAGTGGTAGCACAGTGGTAACGCGCTCGCTTGGGAAACGACAAGAGGGAGTGAAGCGGGTTATAATCCCGGGTCTACCTCTGATATTTTCATGTGCGAATCATTTCTAATAAGATTACCACTTGTCTTACGGTGAAAGAAAACATCATGAGGAAACCTGCATGTCTGAGAAAACCTAGCAAGTTTTCGAAAGATATGTGAAGTCCCCCAACCCGCACTTGGCCAGCGTGGTGAACGATGGCCTGATTCCCCTCGTAGTGAAGGAAGGCCCGTGCCCAGCAGTAGGACGCTAAAAAGGGCTGAATACATACATACTCATTGTCGCATTGTAGTAAGTAGTTTATAAAATTAAGGGATACTGTTTAATGTCTCAAATCAAATATATAATATAAAAATGAATCGCTGAATGTGTTGGTAAGCGCAAATCTCGAGAGCAGCTGAACCGATTTCGCTAATTCTTTTTTTTAAATATTCCTTGAAGTACGAGGATGGTTCTTACGGAAAGCAGAATTTAAAAAATTGCCTGAAAAAGTCTAAAAACAACACGTTTCTATACTGCCATACAAAATATTCGTGATAATACTTAAAAGTCAATTTGAACTTTAATACCATACATAAAGTTTGAGTGTTAGTGGAGAGGTTCCGGGAAGGCAAAACATTGATGGCAATTGAGTGACGTTAGAATCGTATCAATATTAATGTCAATATTTGTCAATATTTTTAACAAAAAAAATTTAATACTTTCTTAGATTTACGCGAATATTTGACATTTTAAATAAAACATTCGAAACGTCGGGAAACAGAAATGCAAATAAATCCGCGACAAAATCCGAAAAGATAGTTTTATTTAAAAAAAAATGTTTAATTGTCCCAAATTGAAATATTTCCTACATGATATGATTCCTCCTCAAATTCACCGCCCAGTTAACACCAAATGTTTATTGGCCCTTGTATTTAGCCCATTTATTAAAAAACTAGTTAAAATTATAGTAGATAACGAATTATAACGAATTATAGTTTTGACGACACGTTTGGCTCAGTTTGTAGTGACCCTACTTTCTGTGTCCGCGGTCGCGGGTTCGAGTCCCGCTGGGGGCATTCATTTGTGTGATGAGCATGAATGTTTGTACTTCAGTCATGGGTGTTTATATTTATAATATTTATGTATTTAACTGCTTCGGTGGTGTAGTGGCTAGCATGTACGGCTGCACACCCGGAGGTCCTGGGTTCGAGTCCCGGGTCGGGCCAAGTTTAGTTATTGAGTGTTTCTGTATATTAAGCGTCAGTAACAGCCCGGAGTTGGGAAGTTGGAGGTGTTTCACCCCCATGCCTCGGAGAGCACGTAAAGCCGTCGGTCCTGCGCCTTAACTCTCACTGGTCGTGTCGAGTGGTCGTCCCACCAGAGTATGAGAGTGACAGGAATAGAGAGTGCACGTTGTGTCTGCGCGTACACTTGTGCACTATAATATCTCCTGCGCAGTTGGCTAGTCTCAATGAGATTGGCCGCCGTGGCCGGAATCGGTCAGGAGAGAACATCATTTATGTATTTAAAGTTATATATGTGTAGTGTATCAACTATCTGGTATCCATAACACAAGCCTCGTAGCTTACCATGGAACTAGATGGTGTTGTGTGTTAATGTCCCAACATATAATAAAATTAAATTATAATACTCATTATGTAAATATTTTCATTCTCAATTAATGTGTCATTTTTGTATTACGTAATTATCTTACTATTGTTATAGGTTACTCTTGTAGACTGCTCATTAATTTATAGTTTTAATTCCACATTAAAGTTACCAAATTTCAAAATTACCGCTCAATCTCATTCGTGTCTTCCTCACAAAACGTGACACTGGCAGAATGGATTGCGTCTGTTAACGCAACTATAAGCCAATAAGGAAAAAAAAAAACAAAAAAAAATATATGGTTAACGCTGGCTAATACCGATTTATATCTATTTAAAACGTACCTAGCGACAAACCCGAGCGAAGCGAGGGTGTGCCGCTAGTATATAATATTTATTTCAATCACTTAATTTTAATTTTAGGTCTGAATTATTTATTTGACCCTCAGATGGTGGCGCAGTGACTGAAGAATATCGGAGACAGTACAGACGGTCTTTAGAGGACCCTGAAGGGTTTTGGGGTGAAGTTGGCATGGAACTGGAGTGGACCCGACCGTGGGACAAGGTTTTGGATGACAGCAACCCACCTTTCACTAAATGGTAAGCTTAAAGTGTTAATTATATTGTAAAAATAGTAATCTAAAGAGCTTTAAGCAATATAGTAACTATAAAATCTTTCCCTTAATCTATTCTAGCTTAAATCGCTTTTCTGGCAACCAGGAACTAGATTTTGTTTTAAATGGTTTTTTTTTGAAACTTAAAGCTTGAGTCACGTTTTATTCATACGTGTAAATCATTCAGTTCGAAAACTTACTAATAAAACTCCAATGATAATTACGTAAAAAGGAATTTTGTGTTATGTTTTAAAATTATGGTACTTGAAACTGTAGCGTTTATTTAAAGCAAGAACAAGATTTATAAATAACTTTTTCCTACAACCTCCCTCAATAAATATGTTATCAAATGGAAAAAGGCTATTATGAAACCAACTAGTAGAGCCAGAGATTAGCATGTACAAAATATAAACAAAAAACAAAAAAATTCTTCAATTTTATAATATAGATTCGTTTTTTAGCCTTTTTATAGATTTTTTTTAGAATACATTGATTCATTTTTTTGGTGTATATTCTCTTATAGGTGGGTAGGAGGGGAAATGTCTGTATGCTACAATGCAATCGACCGGCACGTCGAAAATGGTCGCGGCGACCAAGTCGCGCTGGTACATGACTCGCCTATAACTGATACAGTTAAGAGGATAACTTATGCCGAATTACAAGACCAGGTAAATTTTCTTGATATTGTCTTGATCTTGATAGTTTATTGAAGTAAAAACTTCTCTAGGCAGGTTTGGATGGGGAGTAAATTCATGTAAGTCGTCATCGACATGGTCACGTGACGTGTTAACGCTAACAGAGTGCCGATAGATGTCAAAACTAGATAAATGTAAACAATTTTAATTTATAAATTTAAGATCAACAATAAATTTGAATATCCATAAATAATAAGTGTTTGTTTATAGTTTTAAGTTTTCACTTCTGTCGGCAGTCCTCATGACTGCTTTTATTTTTATATCACTAGGTACGATTTTGCTTACAATTTCTTAGGTTTAAATTTTTTTGCGCGGAACCCTAATTCTAAAATAAAAGTAGCCTAATTTAATCTATATAACATTAGCTATCTGTCAGTGAAAGTCCCGGCAAAATCAGTCCTGCTGTTACGGAGATTAGCCAGAACAAACAAACAGATTAATCGACAGACTACGAATGTCTGTACATTGAAACTATGTTAAAAACCTATCCAATTTTTTAAATTTTTAAGGGTGTTTTTACAAGACGACCATACAATGTTTTTATATTTTCAAAAAGTAGAGTTCAAGACAAAAAGAATGAGCCCTATTTGAAAATTGAACAATTTTTTTTTTAAGTAAACGCCCACTTGAAGTTGGGGGTGATTTTCAGCCTCTCGACACTATAAACATACTTTTCTCGGAAATAGCTAAACATTTAGATTTGTTTTATTTTTCATTTATTATATGTATTTTGAAGATTACATTCCCTTAGTTTCATGGAAATCAAAAGATTATTCTAGAAATAAAAAATAAAAAATCAAGAAATATTTAAAAACCGAGTTTTTTTTAAATATCTCGAAAACTTTAAGGATATTGTAAAAAATGTTATTTATAAAAGTTGTAGATTTTTACTATACCTACAACTTTAGTATAAAACATTTTTCGATAGAACATCACAGTAAGCCGGAAATTGAAAAAATTTTTTTCCACACTTTCCGTCCCCCCATTTATCGGGGGTAGCTGGGCATAGAGGCCATTTTACGAATTTTAATTCCTTAATTTTTTTTTCTCTTACAAATATACGGATTCCGATTGGTCTTTATATAATGCCATCCATTTTCTATTTAAGCAAACAAAAAGAGTTCGAAAATATCCTAAATGATCGTATTTCTTTTCAAAGGATAGACTATTTGCACTTATATAGTATTGTGTGATCCGTGATTTTATTTTGTTTATTAGGTATCTAAGCTGGCCGGAAAGTTGGCAAGTCTGGGCGTGCGTCGCGGGTCCCGCGTCGTCATCTACATGCCGCTCATACCAGAGGCTGTGATCGCTATGTTGGCAACGAACAGGATTGGCGCGATACACTCCGTTGTTTTTGGAGGTACATATCCTACTAATCCTATTAATATTATAAATGTGAAAGTTTGTGAGGACGTATGGATGTATAGATGTACTACTGAATGGATTTTAATGAAACTTTACAATAATATAGCTCATACATCAGAATAATACAAAGGCTACTTTTTATCCTGATAAATGTACGGTTCTCCTACACTCGTAAATATACGCATGCATCAAAAGTTACATAATAAAATAACTTAATACATAACTCACTCCTTTCTGGAAGTTGGTTAAAAAACATACAGGAAGTAGTGATTGAAACCTTAAATAATAACAAGTTTTAAAAGAAAAATGTGTGGTACATGTATTATTTTTGTATAATATTATGTTTTTACAAGTTTTTTTATATTATTTTACTTAGGTTTCGCTGCGAGAGAGCTCAGGACGAGGATCGAGCACGCTAAGCCAACTGTTATTATAGCGGCAAGTTGCGGCGTCGAACCTAACAAAATTGTCAGGTTTGTGTAATCACATCTATCTACCTATAAATAGAAATAAAACGATGTTCGTTGGTAAGCGCATTACTGGAGAATGGCTGGCCGATTTGGCTTTTTGAGGAGGTACGGTAGTAGGTGCTAAGGTTTTTAGGGAACAAGCATGGGGAAAAATGTTCAGAAAATTGGAAAATTTGAGAACAATTAACAATGTTTTGAAGTGAAACTTCTTTAAACTGAAAATGCAACACTAAAAAGATACAAATACATAAATATATAGGATTCAGCGGTGAGAGAATGAGATACATTGCCATGTTGCCATGGTAACCGTTGTTACTGTCTGACAAATATATAATATTATATTCTTTCCGTATATAATATTCTATAAACATAGGATTGTAATATGTCTTGAAGTGAAAAATAATAAATTATAAAATTAATTAATCAAACTATACACCCATGCTATCAATGTATCTCTGCCAGCGCAGTGGTAGTTTTCCAATACCCTTCTTGAAGAAGCTAGATGCATTTTGTACTGCCTGTTGGGTATTGAATTTTTTCCCTTCCAAGATTTGTCCAAATTTTGGAACAAGTAGAATTCTGTCGGCGCAAGGTCTGGTGAGTACGGTGGATGACGCAAAACTTCCAAACCTAGCTCTTGTAGCTTTGAGACCGTCTGTTGTGCCGTATGAGGCTCGTAGGAACACCTACACGACAACACTCCTGTCACGGGGCGAGCGATTGGGCGAAAATTGTAACTAAGCCGAATCTGAACATTAAATATGTTTTGGAAAATCTTATTGAAATAGACATTATTATCAATACAGAGGCCGAATCTATAGGTTTTAGAATTTTTATCTGTCTGTTACCGCATCACGGAAAAACTACTGCAGGGATTTTGATGAAATTTGGTACGATGATAGCTGGTTATTCGGGTCAACATATAGGATACTTTTTACTGCAGGAAAATGTTCCATCTCTGAGAAATCTATACTAAACCTTAAAACGTAAGCAGGGACGAACCCGAGCGGAGCGAGCGTGATAATATCATATGTGATACGTATATTATGTCATCATTCTATCATTCTTGTCAACGTATACGTTCGTAAAAAAAAGGTCATAGACAAGCCACAGACATTAATGTAAATTTAACCCTGTATTGTGCGCTATACATATTAGAATCATTGTATGATAAATATTTTTAATTACATACCATTGTTGTTGTATATTTACATACCTACTTTTCCAATATATTTACATAGTTTTTTAAAAAATCTATTATATTTATTTAACTGCCTGGGTGGTCTAGTGGCTAGCACGTACGGTCGCAGCTCTGGAGGTCTTAGGTTCGAGTCTCGGGTCGGATCAAGGTCAGTTATTGAATATTTCTGTCAAAAAATTCTCAGTAACCAGCCCGAAGTTGGGAAGTTGTCGGTGTCTTACCCCGTGCCTCGGAGAGCTTGTAAAACCGTCGGTCCTGCGTCTTAACTCTCACCGGTCGTGTCGAAGTATCGTCCCATTGGACTTTGAGAGTGACAGGAATAGAGAGTGCACTTCTACCTGCACGCACATTTGTGCATTATAATATCTCCTGTGATAGATACATATATTATGTCATCATTGCGGCTAATAACACTAACACTGGCTAGATAGCCAGTGTTAGTGTGATTGGCCGCCGTGACCGAAATCGGTCAGGAGAAAATTATATTATTTATTTATTATTTATTTATTATTTGATAGTTTTTGTAAAATAGTTTTGCTTTTTCAGATACAAAGATATTTTGGATGAAGCTCTCAGTCAAAGTTCTCATAAGCCCAACAAATGCATAATTTATCAACGACGACGTGTTCTAGAATGTTCCTTAGAAAAAGATATGGATATTTGTTGGGAAGACGCTTTAAATGCAAGCCCTGTGCCTTGTGTTTCGACGGAAGCTAATGAGGCCCTCTACATACTGTACACTTCTGGTAAGAAGTCTTTCATGATTCCTTATTATTAAATAGATTATCCTCAAAAATGGCCCATAATTTTATGATTAGGTATTAATTATTCTTGTAATGGACCAACAAACAAGTCACACGTTTAAAATTATTCAAAATAAATAAAGCACCCCACTGTTAAGAGTAAAATTTTTAATCGTAAAACAATATAAAAATCTATATACAATTAGGGAAAATATTAAGTTCCCATAAAAATATTACAGAAGAATGCGGGAAAGGACGTGTCCTTCTTTTAAAAATCTTATTTTAAAAAGTGATTTTGAAATAAAGGCAGTGTGACAGTATTGAATTTCCATTATTATCTGTATTTAGGTACAACTGATGATCCCAAGGGCATTCAACGTCCTTGTGGTCACGCCGCAACGCTGTGCTGGTCCATGCATGCAGTGTATAATATGAAACGAGGCGTGTGGTGGGCGGCCTCAGACCTGGGGTGGGTTGTCGGACATTCATACATTTGCTACGGTCCACTGCTAGCCGGTCTGACATCTGTTCTATTTGAAGGAAAACCTGATAGGACTCCGGATCCTGGACAGTATTTCAGGTATTATGCCTGTATATCTATCTCTTTTTTTATTTATCTTAAAGGATTATAATTGTATTTTCTTTTTATTGGATTATAGATTTCAAATAAACGACCAATCTTTATGAATAAAGTAAAAATTTAGTTTAGTTTTTAAATCATTATTATTAAATATTTTCTACAATCAATGGTAATTTTATGTGTTTTAACATTTTTCTACAGAATTATAGAGCAACATCGTGTAAACGCCCTTTTCACGATTCCAACCGCGTTTCGTGTGCTGAAGAGATCAGACCCAGCAGGAAAATATGCTAGAAGATATTGCAATAAATCTCTGAAAAATATATATCTTGCAGGCGAACATTGCGACCAAGATACTAGGGTAAGTATCAATTTTAATATGCTTATTTTCCTTTTCTTCTTATATTCGCTTAACTTTATGAGACTGAATTACTTGTAAGCCCTTTTCAGGGTTCCGTACCTACCCTTAAAAAAATTGGACGGTCATATTTCAGGGTATTTGGTAAAATTGACAATAGATGACGTATTGTATTCAACCCTTTTTTTCAACGTCCCACTGCAGGGCTCTGGCTTCCTTCATTGCGAGGGGATCAGGTCATAGTCCACCACGCTGGCCAAGTCCGGGTTGGCGGACTTTACATGTCTTTCGAAAACTTGCTAGGTTCTTTCAGACATGCAGGTTACCTCACGATGTTTTCCTTCATCGTGACTTTGTTCTAACTAAATATAAGTAGTTCATGTTATAAATACCAAATAATATGTATATGTATGTTGTATTGAAAATATACAAATTTTAGTTTTAATAACGTAATATTTGGTTTCCCTCAACTAAGGGTATTATTTAAGACCAGCATAAATCTTTTTGGGTCTATTTTTTTTCTTTTACTAATGGAGAAGATTTCTTGAAAGGAGGGGGCTCTATACGTATGATCTATTTACATTCAGTCTGAGGCTAAGCAATTTATTGTGATATCTTTTTTATGCTTGGTTTTTTGCTTCTATTGTTTCCACATCTTACCTGTGCAATGTATTGTATTTTATTGATCTTGCGACACCCCATTAAGACGGGGGAAGTTCCGTTAGGTTTTAGTAGGTAGTACCTACTGCCTTTGCCCGTGTGTTCCACACCTCATGTCTAAATGCATTTCCCAACGTTAAAAAAATTGATACGAATAAAAGCAACATTATTGTAATCTTAAAACAAAACAGTCATAAAATAATTTTTTTTTAAAAAAATAGTGGTAAGGCACCTGTTTTGTTGTTGCATATACGAGTATATTGCTGCATACCCGGAGGTCCTGGGTTCGAGTCTCGAGTCGGGCCAAGTTTAGTTACTGAGTCTTTCTGTATAATAAGTCTCAGTAACAGCCCGGAGTTGGGACGTTGGCGGTGCTTCACCCCCGTGCCTCGGAGAGCACGTAAAGCCGTCGGTCCTGCGCCTTAACTCTCACTGGTCGTGTCGAGCAGTCGTCCCACCGGAGTATGAGAGTGATAGGAATAGAGAGTGCATGTTGTGTCGGCGCGTACACTTGTGCACTATAATATCTCCTGCGCAGTTGGCTAGTCTCAATGAGATTGGCCGCCGTGGCCGGAATCGGTCAGGAGAACATCATTTATATATAGATTATTATACAATGATAGACCTTGAACTAACTGTATTTTTTATTAATTGGAATAATTAGAGAAGGTCGAAGTTTAAACGCTTCTCACACAGGGCTTTGTGTTGAATAATTGGAATTTATTTTTATGTGCGACTGTTTCACTTATGTAGTTTATTTAATATTTTTATCTTCATTTAATTATAACGCAAATGTCCCTTTCTTTTATAGTAAAAAAAAGAAAAAAAAACTAATTTTATAAAAATATTTCATAAGGTCTCCATCAGATCAACAGATTTTAGAGTGGATTCTCTAAAAAAATATGTATTATGTCCGAAGGTTAGAATAAACTACAATATAATAATTAATTTTAGTAAAAATAACATAATTGTCAATGAACGACAGTGAAGGTGCAATATTTCGTAAAGCAAATCTGGTGTAACAGGCTGCAGTCCATTAACTGGTCCATTTCATTGATCATCTTAGTACAGGAAGGAGGCTGTAATTCATTGAAAGGTCGATATCATTGATCATCTTTTTCTTCCTCATCTTGATGATTCACATTTATCGAGCATATAATGTCACTAGTTCCTATGCTACGAGTAGGTACATCCCACATACATGGTCCCATCACTAAATTATCGATAAATGAAAATTCACCTTAGAAATTGTTGTTTTTTTGTTATTTATCTATCTAATATATTTAAACGAGCAATTCTTGTATCTCGGAAACGGCTCCAACGAATTTCATGAAATTGCACGGGGGTTTTGGGGGCGGTTTTCATGCGGTTTTGTTTTGCATTTTTAATTGGACCCAGCTATGCAAAAAACAGCCATGTGTGTAAAAGTACCAACAGAGTTATAAGCATTTTATTATAAAAAATAAACAATACTTATATAAATATTGTTCAATTTTAAAATAACCAGAAAAACAAAACACAACCCAAGTGCAAGTATCAACGGAAAAATACTTATAACTCTGTTGGTACTTTTACGCACATGGCTGTTTTTTGCATAACTGGGTCCAATTATGCAAATAAATAATGCATAATTGCAAATATGATCGCTAATTCGTACGCTAGGTCTTAAACATCGTGGTCAAGGGGCCAAGGCGCAAGTTTGACCACCACAGGTGTCCGGGTTCGTATACCGGTCGGACACAAATTTTTTACTTTTGTTTTTTTTTGTATTTATTCAAATTTTTAGTTTGTTTTTTTAATGTTTTTTTGGCCAAAAACCCCGAGCAAAGTTCGTTGGCCCAGGTACTGTTATATAGTACATGAACAACTTATAGGTACCTACTTTCCTTAAGAAAACGATTTCAATTCTTTTCAATATTGTACAATTGTTATCTGTAAAGTAAATGATTTTATTTGAAACGTTCGATTAAGTAAATGAGTGCGCATTAATTAATAAAAGATTAAAAAACGTTACGTGTAGTGTTTGTGACCTAAATGTTATATGTAAATTTTAACGGCACGCGTATTTTTGTTATTTGAGTTTCACATAGCGTCACGTAATAGTAGGGGAGCCCAAGAGGAGATTTTTAGATTTACTCAAGGGGATACCTTGCACTCTGTTGAGAACCTCCACCATAATTTAAGTCCTCTATATAGG